TTTCTTTTTCTTTTTCTTTTTCCTTTTTTTTCCTTTTTTCTTTTATTTTTCTATTTCCTTCCCCTTTTACCCCCCTTTTACCCCCCCCCCCTTTTTTTTTAACCCACTCATCCTCCCCCTTATCCTCCCCACCTACCCACTCACCCCCAAAACTCTCGAAACCCATGCCCATCCATCCACCCATCCACCCACCCACCACAAACCAAGAATAAGGACGATTCTAATCCGGGGCTCTTGGTCACTCACTCCCTCACTCACCCATCCTCCCACCAACACCCACACACCCACCCACACACCCCTAAAAGCCACTAACCACCACTAACCAACCACCCATACCCACCCACCAAAAACCAACCAACCAAGAACCAACCAACCAACCATCCCCAGAAATAGTACCATTCCATACCATACCATACCGTACCATACTATACCACCGTAATAAACCCTCCCTCGCCCCCTCCCCCCCTTCCAGCCTTTACATACATACCTACCTACCCTATATAATAAATAAATAGAGAAAGAAGGTACCGGTACCACGGTACAGGCCTAACCAAGTACTAACCAAGTACTAACCAAGCATTACTTTACCCCCCTCGAGGGTGCCTCGAGAGTTTACCTAGTTTTCCACTTCAAGCACCTTCTTTCTTGGGTACCCTTAGCCTCGAGGGGGAATACCTACTCCTGCGACGTAGTATATGAGCTGGTGCGGACGGCGCTTCATGGGCCGGCTGGTATGCATCCATCTCGTCTCTACCTACCTACCTACCTACCTACCTACCTACCTACCCAGCTCAGCTTGCTCTGGCATACAACAACTCGGTATCCGCGCGCGGGAAACTTGCCTCCTTTGCCCGCTCGCCCTTGGCGGCGATTAAACATGGTAAAACATTTCCACATTATATGTCAGGACCGAGATCTACAAAAAAAACTAACCACCCCTGAAAAAAACTTTTTGTACAACGAAAGGTATAGAACATCCGCTCCCACCACCACCCTGCCCACAGAGATTCCAGGTACATCACAGACAGGCCATCTCAACTCCGGATGGTTTTTTTCCATTCCCAAAACACCACGGCCATCAGATGACCACATTAAACATTGACAGATTCCTCCCTTCATTTCGATAGGTCGTCGTCGTATTAATCGTTTCCTCTCTCTGCCAATGGACCGGTCCATGCCGGTCCCCAGATGCCCCGTCTCAAGAGTCGAGTGACCATCGCCGTGACGCCGTGCCCGACCAAGCCCAGCCCAGCCCAGAGCGGCCGGACGGGCGCGGCTATAAAGCCAAGCCAGTCCCGTCCCCCGTCCATCGATACAGCGACAGCACTTCCCGCCTTCGTAATTGCTGTTCGCCGAAATCCTCGGGCACGCGTCCCTTCACCTGAGCCAGCGCCGAGCGCATCACCTTGCGGAAATTCCTCTGCCCGTCGGGTTAGCACAACCGGTGTCGCGCGGCGATGCGGGGCCCCGGAAGAACTCACCTGGTACTCCGTATTCAACGTCACGACGCACGCCTCGTGCGCTCGCACGATGCTCTCGCAGGCCTTGACCACACTCGGCGACGCCTCCACCTGGAGCTTGTCCGCAATCAACAAGAGCAAGAAACTTCCCTGCAGCAGGTAGACCCCAAAGAAGAACGGCATGCATCCCATGCCCGGGTCGTACTCGAGGATCCGGTCGATGGCGGCCGCCGCGCTGACGGCGTGGCCGGTCGCGTTGATGAAGCTCTGCGACGAGATCCAGAGGTCGTTGTCGTCGAGGAGGGAGATGGGGTCCCACTTCCCCGTGAGGAGGATGTGGAGGACGTGCATGACGTGGGTCCCGTACGCGACCACGATGCGAGTCTGGATCTCGGCTTCACGGGCGGAGGATGCGGTGTGAGCGGTGTGAGCGGTGTGCATGGAGTGCACGGAGGGGGTGCCGACATCGCTGTGATCCACGTTGGTCGGGGGTTGGCTGGTTGCAGAGAGTCCGTCCATGTGGAGATCGGCCTGCGGCTCCTCGGTCCTGCTCAGGTTGCGCGCCTCAAAGTCTCGCAGGCTCTCGCCGTACGCGTCCAGCTGCCGAGAGATCTCCCGGGCGTGGTCATCCCATTCGTGAGCAGACCGGAAGCCAAGCCCGAACCGCGGATGGTTCTTGGCGTGATTGAGATCGACGATCTCGCCGAGGATCGTCATGAGAGGGAGGAAGTATCCGAAGATGCTATGCCCGGTACACTCAACCCCCGGCCCTCTCCTCCGCACCCTCGGCGTCCCCTCGGGGGAAGTGACGTGGATGCTCGAATCCCCGGTGTAGAACTCCCCCGCCTGCCACCGCGTGTCATCCATGGGCTGGAGCAGCCCGTCGCATTCGATGTCGAGGAGGAAGAGGGGGCGGTTGTAGCAGAGGGCGAGATGACGATCGACGGTGTAACACAGCCACCAGATCCTCCGTCGCTCCTCTCGCTCTTCCTCGCTGACGCCTGCTGCGGAGAGGCCCCCCGCCTCGCCATCGGCGCCTGCGTCGTGGCTACCGTCGGCTGCCGGCGGAGGCGCCCCCGGTGGCAGTTCTCGCCCCAGCTTGAGTTCGCGGGCGAGCGACCACGCCTGGTTCCACCACCGGAGGCTGGCGCCCTTGTACTCGCTCGCCGAGACCACCGTGGCGAGATGGATGTAGGTGACCACGTCATCCAGGGTCCCGGCCGCCCCGAACGCACACGTCTCCCCATTCAAGACGGCGGGGTGCACCGATCCCGGCAGGGCCACGCCCAGCCCGCCGAGGGCCACGCCGTTGATGGCAGTGCTGGTGGAGAAGCTCGGCGACGGCTCGTCCCCCGCCGAACCGTGAATGAGAGGCTTCAGGAGTCCGACGGTGAGTTCGAGCAGCCGTTGGCAGACGCGTCCACGCGACGACGGGGGCGCGGTCAGGAAACTTGCATCGCTCGTCTGGGCGACGACCCACAGCATACTGGCGAGCAGGGCGGGCGTGCACGGTCTCGGCTTGGTGCGGTGCAGGATGGACTGCTTGCGGAACACGTAGCCGAGCACGTATGGCGACGTCGGATGCATCAGCGCCGACGACGAACTGGCAAAGTACAGGTCCAACAAGTCACACGCGAGGGAGACCGGGATGATGTTGCCCAGATAGGGGATGAGGGGTTGCAGCACCGGGAGGCGGAGGGTGGTGCTGAAGCTCGGACTCGGGACGTGTTGCCGATACTGATTGGAGGGCGAGGGCAGCGACATCCATCCGGGCGAGGCCGCCTCTGACGCCATGGGGAAGCCGGAGATCGGCGAGTCGCCAAGGTGGAAGGGACCCGGGGTCGTGCTCGGCGCCGGGTAGTGTGTCGTCGGGCTCGGGGCTTGGATGGCGTACGACAGATCAAAGCCGGGGAGGCTGCCCTGTCCGGCCGCGAAGCTGGATTGGCCGCCCCCGCTCCCGGTGCTCCCACGCAGCAGGTGGGACTCCAGGGCCGGCCTGTAGCCGTGCAGGCTGGAATAGCTGCTCATGGTCAGGGAAGCGGGGCTCTCGATCTGATCCGGATCCGCGCGACTCGCCATGTGAGGCACGAGTCCGGTCAGGCTCTCGAGGCTCCCGGCTCGCTGCAGTCGCCCCTGCGTCGCATCCCGCCCCGAGGCTGGGTCGAGCTCGGACGCCGTCCTCCCGAGGCAGAGACTGAGGGACCTGGAGGCTTGCGATCGCCGCAGGACGCCCGTCTCCTGCTGGGTCGGGGTCGCGGAGGACGACTCGTGTTCATGCCGCGACTCGGGCGGCGAGGCGGGCTCGTCGGAAGACTGCCCGTGGCCCTGGCCACCGCCGCTGGGGGCCTCCTGGCCGCCGCTGGCGGCGGTCGCGGCGGCTTGCTGGGCCAGATCTTTGCGCGACGCCTTGCCTCGCTTCTTCCTCTCCCGAATGTACTCGCAGCCGAGACCGAATTCTGTTCGCCATCAGCCGCTATCCCGTGCTGGGCATGCACGCACGTTGGCGCCCGGAGGACGGACTCACCCACACAATGGGCGCAAGGGCTCTGCCCGTCGCACTTGGTCCGGAGCTGGTTGCACTGGTCGCACGCGCGGCTGATCCGTCGGCGAATGGGGCCCGAAGATGCACTGCTGAGCCCCCTCCCCTGGCCCGCCGCGCTGTAGGGGTGCTGGCGGTGCTTGTGATTCTGGCTCCGCTGGACCTCGTGGTCGTTCCGGGGAACGTGACTCACCTCGACGTGTTGGTGCTGTTGGTGGTGCTGTTGGTGCTGTTGGTGCATCTGCTGGAGCGCATACTGCGATCCGTCGGCGAGGGTCTGGAGCCCCGCGTGCGGCATGTGATTGGAAGGCAGGTGGCCGTTCGGTAGCATGCTACTCGAAGGCAAGGCATCGTAGGCCGAGTAACGATGCAGAGGGTTCGAGAGCATTCTGACGGGTGGGGTTCTCGATGCGGTGGGTGTTGATGATGGCTTGTTGTTGAAGTCATATGCCGATTTCGCAGGCCTGCGGAGAAACGGTGCTCTGGTGAGGGAGGGAGGGAGGGAGGAGGACAGGAGGACAGGAGGACAGGAGGACAGGAGGACAGGAGTACGTAGGTCGGTTAGTTTAGCGATGTCACGACGTCGATGGACCGCCAACGGAGGTTGTCTGCATCTGGCGCGGTGCCCGGAGCCGAAGGGAAGTGGCACCTGGTGGTCACTTTTGGATCATCCGTAGGGGGACGGGTGGGCGTTGGATGGCGGAGGAGGCTTTCCACGCTGACAGCGGCAACTAAGTCAGTACCGGTAGTAGCGTACCTATCTAATCGTGTCGTGTCGATGGCAACGGCGGGCTCGACATGGGCACGGCGTGAGTGGCAGCGGTGGAGGGTAGGGTAGGGTAGGGTCGGGTCGGGGTAGGGTCGTGTAAGGTCGTGTAGGGTCGTGTAGGGTCGTGTAGGGTCGTGTAGGGTCGTGTCGTGTGAGTGTCGTGTGATGTGGTGGTGTAAAGCAGTGTGTAATGGAAAGTCATGTACGAAGAGCAGGCCGGGCTGTAGGATTGTAGGATTGTAGGATTGTAGCGTACCGGTAGATGGGCATGATCCGGAAGAGAAGAGGAAGGGGGAGTTGTGGGAGATGGGGGAGGAGAGCACCATCTGGAGTTTATTGCTCTCTGGGTTTGGGTGGTGGAGGGATTTGGGGGGGGGGGATGGGGGGGGATGGGGGGATGGGGGGATGGGGGGATGGGGAGGGGGAGGGAAGGGGGAGGGGGGGGAGTCCAAGAACGAGGAACAGGGGTAGGTACAGTAAAAAAGAAAACGCTGCGGGCAATACTGCAATACAGGGCGGGAAGGGGGAGGGGCTGCCATACGATATACA